GGCAGGGAGCCTTTTTAGTAAAGTAAGGGTCTGGCATGACTACCCACCAACTATGGAATTACTTATTCTTATGGTCTTAGCAGTTCTTGCAGGCAAAAGGACAATGTTGTCGGTCATGGTCAGTGTAGAACAGTGTTTCTCAACCTTGGCAAATTTAAGATATGTGGAATTCAACGCCCAGGATTCCCTAGCCTGAATGGCTGGGTGGGGAATCCTGGGAGTTGAAGTCCACACATCTTAAAGTTGTCAAGGTTGAGAAACACTGGTATAGAATCATAGAGTTGGAAAGAATGTTGAAGGTCAATGTAGGATCCCATCAGTGCAGGATGACAGACCACCTTTTAGCCTCTGCCTGAAGACTTCCAGCAAGGGAAAAGTCACCATTTCAAGTGGCAGCCTGTCTGGAGGTTTCCCCTGACATCTACCCTGAATCTACTTCCTTGTAGTTTTAACTCACTGGTTCTGGCCCTGCCCTTTGGGGCAATAGAGGATAAATCTACCCCTTTTTCTGTGTGACAGTCCTCCAGGTATTTGAAAACTGCTATATCTTTCTGCAGTTGTCTTTTCTTAGGCTAAACATATCCAGATTCTTTAAATGTTCCTTAGAGGATCTTTTAATTTGAACATGTTGATTTTAACAATTTTTTCTGGGGCGGGAAAGCATACAAATATATATTGCATTAAATAGTTTTATTTTTAAAGTTAATATGTATGCACATAAGCAGAAGTTAATCCAAGCCAAGATTTTATATTTCACAGTTCATCCTGCCCTCAAGGAATAAATCTTGAGGACAGGATGAGCTACTAAAACTAAATGTATCTTGAGAACATTTATGTTGCTGTAAATCAATATGGTTTTGTCATGTGGTTCTCTTTCATGCCAGAAACTAAGGAAAATAATACATTACTTATGAAATTCATGTAATCATATATGATTTTACCAAATATAGATAATAATTGTCCCAAAAAAATATACTACAAGCCAGCAAACTTCTGTTAGCATGTGAAGGGTCGTCTGTTTACATACATGTGTGCCCTTTAATCTGTCCTCCAAAATTTAGGTAATGATGATGAAATTCTGACATAGATGAGAGAAGGGAAAAGAAGCTGAATCTGTGGTAACTGAGGAGGCGAAAGGAAGAATTTCTTATCCTCCAAAGGACCAGTAGCAGCTCTACTAACATCTTCTTACCTGCTGTTACCTACATCTTCTCATCAGCTAATGCTGGGAAAGAAAAAGTGCTTCCTCCTCCATAATCAGGAGGTTGTGGGTGGCTCTCTTGCCAAGAGCCCAAGAGCTTGCTCTGAGTATTTTGAGAGCTGAGATCCTGGGAAGATCTTTTGTCTTGGGACCATGCAGGATAATTCACAGTAAGATGAAATTGCTTGGTCTAATGATGCCGAACAATCCTGCTCTCAGATGCAGCTCATTATGCTGGAACGGTGACAAGAATCCATATGAGGTCTCCACTTCAATACAGCTAAAATTATTGGTACATTTAGGTTGGGGATTTATTCGTTGCAAATAAATAACCTTTCCATCAATAGAGTGACAAGTGTGGGATGCTTGAGATGCTGGGAGCGGAAACTATTTTATTTGATATCTTCAACAAAACAGTGTTTAAAGTAATACTTTTTTGGGCCTTGATGTTTTATCTTGAACACACAGCTGTAAATCAGGAGGTGCCTCATGGAACTGCTAATCAAAATAGAATATGAGTGGAAAAGAAAGAATATGGCTTGTTTCCAGCTGAAGAAAAGCTCAGAAGAGACAGGCACAACGGCGCAAGAGAAGAGCCCCAGGGGACTTGCCTGGTGCCCATTTTCTAACGTATGCTCCCATTTCACCCGAGTTTCACAGGCAGCTACATTCTTCTTATAATAGTCTTCATCATCCTTTGCCAGTTTGATTGCAGATTTTTCTAGATTTCTGAGCAACTAAAATGAAAATATAAGTGCAGCACTGGTTTTTTAAAGAGCAATTGATTTCGCTCAGCAGGGGCGTTGCTTTCATAGAAGGTTAATAGGGGAAAACAATCTTTTATCCAGACACACGCAAGGAAGGAGAGGAAAAGGCAACATCTCTAAAACCCCTAAGATTTACCAAGTGATATGGAAAAATTTGTGTCAGAAGAAATGCACTATTCTAGGCTATGGAAGTGCTGACAGATGCTTCCCCAAGAGGTAATTAGCAAACAGATGTGTGTCGCTCTGGGAGATGAATATGGGGCTTCCTGGGTCAAGCTACCTGTCTACCTATTCCAGCTCATTTATCCATTTGGACACACACCTGTCTGAAGACATACCTTTTTTTTGGTCTTTGGGGAAGCCAGCGGGTGGGAGCTTTCTGTATTGCGGAAAAGGGCTTCATGGTCCTTGGTTAGCTCTTTTAACTTCTTCTTGGCCTATCCCACAAATACACCAACATCAACAAAGTTCACAGTTAGAGTGGATATGAGCTATAGTCCGAATCTCTTAGATGCTTTATTATTCCATGTCGTGGGAGTTCCATACAGCCCAAACCATGGGTGTCAGGGGTGTCAAAACGTTAAGATGGCAGGTATAGCTGTGTGATTGAAGCCCCACTCTTTTTAATGCTCATTGACTTAATGACACTTTTTTTGACACTCATACACACACACACACACACACACACACACACACATGGACATCCCTGGCCTGGATCCTTAGCTTGCTGATGATGACATTTAGATGAGATCTATCAGTCATTGCCCTGAGAATAGTAAATATCTCATTATTGCATACTAGTGAATGTAACATATGGTAGAAGAAAATGTACA